CACAGAAACATGTTCATACCAACCAAAGAGGCGGTGGTGCCGGCACTGTCCAAACCAAACCAGGCGCACATTTATCTCCAACCTATCAGGTAAGCTGTAGCAGCTGAACCTGCGCACCACCCAACGAGTCCTGCAGCAGCACTGGATGGCCAGCAGGGGCATCAGAGGGGTGTAACACAGTTAATAGGATGTTTTGGGACCCTCCGAATGGTGTGCCTACTTTTTGTGCATGAGGGGGTTCTTCTGGCTTCATGCTGGGGTGGTTTGCAGCAGAGCGTGAAGCAGACGAATCTCTAAAACTGATGGAAAGGTGGAACATGAGATGGACCGGAAGATCAAGGCATCAGCAGCGATGCTGACGCTGTACCGGGCTGTTACGGTGAAAAGAGCAAAGCTTTCTGTTTCCAGTCAAAATGAGTTCATCAGTGTCACATGGACTGCTGATGATGTCTGCTCCGTCTCTGCGGGGTTTAAGCCCAGACACCAAGCAGACAGAACAGGTCAGAGGTCAGGCAGGGAGCCTACTCTAAGTCTAGCCACAGTTGGGCACCCGAGGCCGCAGCCTGAACAGACTTACCAAACCCGGACATCAAGGACTGGAAGCATGGAGCCGGGTCTGATAAAGCTCTGTCCTGCTCAGCCGGATCATGGATGGATCAACCCAAATACCCCGATTGCCACATTTGGACCCTACAACGCCAACAGGCAAACATTTATCACCAGAGTTTACCACCCGGCTCCTTTCAACAGAAAACGTCTAATGTCTCAAATAAAAGTCAGACTGGTTCTGTGGACGATGACTTATTCTCCAGTGAACATCAGCAGAACAGCTTCAGGCTGTGGTCCCATGTTTTTGGGACAGAGCGAGGCCCAGCACAGGATCAGTGTGTTGCTCCTAAAAAGGTGCTCAGGTGATTTTAAGGCACTGGTTTGGTGTCCTCACAGCACAAACCAGGTGAGGCCGTTGGGCTTGTGTCACAGAAATGTGCCTGTCCAACCACACTGAAAGGCTAATGTACCACTGTAAGGGTTTGGACAGCCATTCATATATCTGTCCATCCATCCATCTATCCATCCATCCATCCATCCATCCATTCATCCATCCATCCATCCCTTCATCCATCCATCCCTTCATCCATCCATTTATCCATCCATCCATCCATCCATCCATCATCCATCCCTTCATCCATCCATTCATCCATCCATCCCTTCATCCATCCATCCCTTCATCCATCCATTTATCCATCCATCCATCCATCCATCCATCCATCATCCATCCCTTCATCCATCCATCCATCCATCCATCCCTTCATCCATCCATCCATCCATCCCTTCATCCCTTCATCCCTTCATCCATCCATCCATCTTCTTCAGTCTCAGCTACAGCCCATTGTT